AATAAACACACTCATTATCATTGACTTCAATCTTATTAATTTATGAAAACCAGCAATTTAATTTCTTTACAGAGCACATCTGTTATCTTAGGATAAACAAATTATAAACATTTATTGAAAGATGTTTGTCTGAGCAAAAAACTGGTGACCAGTGGAGGAGCCAGACAGTTTTATAGGGGAGGCCAGATTGTGACCACTGGTCAAACAGGGGTGGCCCAAAAAAATCAAAAAATCCCTGCATGTTGATTTGCTGAGGATCTAATGGTGACTACCATGTAGAATTACATCATGACAATTACCTATTTGAGCAGTGTAGCTGAAATGAACAATCTGTGCATAGAAAATGGCTTTGCCAAAATGTTGTAGGCAAAGCAGTCTTTGGGCTGGACAAAGATTTTTATATTATGGCCATGGCCATCCTGCTGTCATGAAATATAGAAAAATCCCAACTTAGCCTGCCTATGTCATGACACGTCTTTTTGTACCCAAAATGTACGGGTACAAAGTGACCAAAGCTGCAAAAATGCAATTTAATGAAGGGACAAATTGACATAAAGCCATCTTTACTCACACAATCCAGTCAACAGCCAACATGAGGGACAGGTCATTAGTCGGCAGGCCGATGGCCTCCAGTATGATCGCGATGGTGATGATGCCTCCGGCTGGGATTCCTGCTGCACCGACGCTAGAGGCTGTGGCTGTTACCCTGGAAACAATCATACCGCATCAAACAAACCGTTTCTACAGTCAGCACAGACCTTAGGGTGAGACTCACAGGATGGTGAAGATCTGTCCGGCGTTCAGCTCCGTGTTGTTGAGCTGAGCGATGAAGACGGCGGCGATGCACTGGAAAATGGCCGCTCCGTCCATGTTGACCGTGGCCCCGATGGGGAGGATGAAACGGCTGATGCGTTTGTCCACACCGTTGTTTTCCTCCACACACTTTATCATGGAGGGCAGCGTTGCTGAACTGGAGAAAGAGAACCCAAAGCGACGTCAATGTTGATTTGACGAGTGCGAGGTGAAGCTGAAGCCAGAGATATCGGACGCTCTCACCTGGAGCAGGTAGCGAAGGCGGTGGTGAAGGGTGTGATGAGGCCTGAGAGGAAACTGAAGGGGTTCTTGCGTGTTAATGCAAAGTAGATGAGAGGCAAGACTATGCCTCCATGGATGATGTGGCCCAGGATCGAAGCAAATATATATTTCCCCAGACTGGTGACCAGGAGAACTACATCTTCCATTTCTACTATTTTACTGCCCACGAGAAACACAATACCAAAAGGGATGTACCTGAGAGATACCAGAGGTCGGGAATTAGCATGAAAGAAGCAAAGCAGCTGGAGAAGACGATAAGAACTGAAACAAGTAGTTGTCAAAAATATTTAGTGACTGATACACTGATAAAATATGTCTGGAAACCTGAGAATCAATCACTTCTTCTTACCACATGATCCAGGACACCAGCACCATGGTGGCCTCGTTAAAGGCGTTAAAGAAACGAATGAGTTCCTCTCCCTCCTCTCCCAGTTTCCGCAGGGCCACTCCAAAAACCATGGCAAACAGAACCAGACCCAGAATGTTCATGCCGTCTGTTTCAGTTCCCACAGGGACCTAAAACACCCAGCAGAGTCACACTAAGACCTCACAGAGGACAGAACAGACGCTGGGACAAGTCGGTCCGGAAAATAATATTTGCTTTGGTCAGACAGGAAGTCTCTTTTTCAACACGAGCACCATCTCACTTTAAAAATAAGTAAATAAATAAAACTATGCAGAAAAAAAAAACAAATTTCAGTACACCGAAAACATGAACATGCTAACGTATAGCATCGTGACAAACCCCAAAGTTCAGTGTGCTAGCATGCTAACATGGCTACATTTAGCATCTGTTTTTAATGTTTTATATTAATGTCAGAGTAAAAGCTTTATAAAAATCAAAGTAATGCACATGGTTCTGAAGTTTCACACATTGAGCGTTTGACACATGCATTTCATGAGGTGCACGCACCACATTTATGCTAAATCCCACACACACAAACGCACACGCCCTGTTTGAAGAGAAATGTGCAGCAAAATATTTCCCTCACTGGCTGGACTGATCCATGCCTAAAAAAGGTCTGCATCCACCTATTTTTTTTTCTTAAATTGTTTAATTATTTAAAGTGCGGGACACATTTGTTACTGGCTGGCTGTGTCCCCTCACACAAAGATTTTGTCAATATTTGCTCTATATATTAAACTAGCTACATTTGTACAGAATATGTCCTGATGCATCTCAGTAATCCAGGTAGAAAAAATCAAAAAGGAAAAATAAGTAGGTCCTCTGGATGGGTTCTTCTTTAGTGAAACGTTTCGTCTCTCGTCCGAGACTTCTTCAGTCTGATGAGTTTCAGGTGAACTCAGCCTTATAAGCACTGCCTCCACATGGTGGACAAACAGGTTAGTCACATGCAAAAGAGGGCCATCGGTTAACAATAGGCTTGATTGTTGGCCTCTATTGTTCATAGAGGGTCATGTGCCCCATCACCTGACTTATTGGTTTGGATGCTTCGGCTGTGGTTCTTAGGTGTCATGTTATGTGTACGTAGTGAATGCAAGCGGGGCTCAACATCCTCTTGTTTTTGTCCTTCTCTCCCTCTTTGTGTTGGTTATCGTTGGGGGCCCTGATTCACACCTTTTGCTCACAGGGGCTGAGTCATACTTGCAATAACACCATTGTAGGAGGAGGACAACTGGACACGAAGGCCTCCACCTCTGTTTAATGGTGGACGGTTTTTCTTCACAAAAATGTTTTCCTTTACTCCTCTCTCAAACCAACGTTCCTCTCTATCAAGAATGAGAACATCCTCATCTCTGAAAGAGTGACCGCTGGCCTGTAGATGAGTGTAAACTGCAGAGTTCTGACCTGACGAAGTAGCTCGTCTGTGCTGGCTCATTCTTTTGAACAGTGGCTGTTTTGTTTCCCCAATGCATGACTGATCACAGTCCTCCTGACACTTAACAGCATATACTATATTACTCTGTTTTTGCCAGGGAACTGGATCTTTGGGGTGAACTAATCTTTGTCTTAACATGTTTTGGGGTTTGAAAGCCACTGGGACGTCATGTTTAGAGAATAAACTAGAGAATAAAATTTGTACAGAATACTCCATCTTTCGACACTAGGTTTTTTTTTCTGGTCTTGGTCTTGAATCGGTCTCGCCCTCCCTTGGTCTTGGTCTTGACTTGGTCCAGGCCCTAAAAGTCTTGGTCTTGTCTCGGTCTTGAGACACCGTGGTCTTGGTCTTGGCTTAGGTGGTCTTGACTACAACACCAGGTACCACCAGTACTTGTACTAAATCTGGTCCAACAAATGAAGCTTTAAACTTAAGGCCCTGTCACACTATAAGGTTTTAGACAACTTATGAAAAGTTTATCCAATGCTGAAGATGGAATTTAAACAAAATCTACTAGGAGCCTTTTTTGGAACTTTCTATACTGTTATTCTAACAATAAGATTGAATATATTGCTGATTTGAGTAAAATAGTCATATCAAAATTTTCATAAGTTTGCATAAGTTGTCTAAAATGCTATTGTGTAACAAAGCCTTTACTTTGAACCAGCAGAGTTTAAGAAAACATTTGTATTAAGGAATTTCTTTTTTCTACTGAAGTACGGCTGAGTCCCACGGTCTGATTTAAAACCACCAACCTGCTCAGTGATCCAGAAATATCAACATTTCACCATCAACCTTGAACCCATTCTCCCTGAAAGGGGTCGGTCTTGCACATAGCGCTTATTTAGTAAGTTTACACCCATGGCTGACTGTCGTACACACACACATCCCAGAGCAAACATCAGTTTAACCCCATTTTCACTGCCTGACTACTGAACCCTTCTGTATGACCCACTGCGACTGCACACCTGAGATGCTTCCTGAACTCACCTTCTGGTAGAGCGATGTCCCGTTGGTGTCGTTCCCCACGGCAATCATTTTGTAGTCGGTGGCATACTGCAACAGACGAGACACTAATTATTCATTCATGTTTGCTTTAGAACCATGATAAAAAACATGATGTGTGCTAAAACAATCTGTTATTTTATGCTCTTTTTCTGGTCATGTAAACTGGAAACAAAACACATGACCCCAGCTTCTAAATGTCACCGCTGTTCACGGGTTAAAAAACGTCACGAGATTCTTATTTTCACGTGTTTTAGGAGAGAAGCTGGCAGTTCAAGAGCGGTGCACTTCCTTTCACTCAGAGTGTGTGCACAGACTTGTGGGCCAGTTGGACTCTGTCTATGAAACTCCCGTCTTTTCAGGAACCGGCAGCGCCATACAAACCTCTGAAAAGAGCCGGGCTGTGAAAAATATTCAGACGTGTACACACATATACACATACAGATAACGAGACTAGTAAAGAGTCTGCCATAGTTTGAATCTTCCAGCTCATCTGTTTAAACATGTAGCTGCTTGTTGTTTTAAAGGTCTCCTCTGCTTTTTTGGGTTTAATCCTCATTTGGACCCATTCCACAGTGGCTCTGCTGCTGTGTGTGGGGAGATTTATTGAACTCTGCGAACTCTGAAGCTACAGGAGTCTCTGTGGGAGAACCAAATGACCAGTTTGTGGGTTTATGACCCACAAGCGAATTCTGGGTGACTTGAATGTAAATGTTTTAGTTTTCCCGAGTGTCTGACAACTTTAATCTGTAATCCCAAGCCTTTAGTGTCTGAGTGTGTGTGTGTAGCCAGTCGTACTCCGACGCCTACAAATATTGAATTTTCCTGGTCCCTGTTTTTAGATCAAACAAGGTTCTAGGAAGTGGAGTGCGTCGCGTTGAGAAGTAGCGAGGCGAGATGGGTTGCTAGGATGGTCAGAGTGGAATGGTTCTGCCATGGTAACGGCTGGTTAAGGACCAAAAAAAAGAAAAAGAAACAGAAGAGAGCAGCGGTTTCTGAGGCCCTCGGTGCTGCAGCCGTCTGGTGACAGCTACTGGGGATAAACGTGGAGTGGGTACCGCACGGGTGGAGTAATAAGCTTTGAGAAACGGTCCGAACAAGCGACAAAAAAACAACAGAGGAAGATTGAAAGAGAGGTGTAGAGAAGGGGTGACACTCACAGAACGGAAAGCTGCAGCCACCAGGTTTGCTGGAAATAAATTCCTGAGGAAGGAAACAGAAGAAGCAGTTAGATAAATAGAACTACTGTTGTAGTTCTTGAGACTGGTCTTGGTCTTAAGACCAATTTTTGTTGGTCTTGGTCTTGTCTCAGACTCGACAGCATTTGTACTCTGTCTGGACATTGAGGACTCTGAATTTTATTTCAAGACCAACTGTGGAAATATCACTAAATAGCCAGATTATTGTTCAATTTATTTGTTAAAATTCTTGCTTTCCTTGAATTTAAAATGCAGCTACTGATTCAAATTTAAACCTGACTCATTGCTATTTATGTAGTTTTGTTACTCCCTGTCACTTGCACACAACACAGCACTCTCGGAAAGTGAACCGTGGTTCTCGGGGAGTGATAGAACATGTTTTCAAAATTTTAAGTAAAACAATTTGGCTACATAGACAATATCGATGTAAAACAACAACCAGAAGAAATCGTACAGCAAGCAACTTGTAAGTTTGGTAGTGCTTCACTTTAAGAGACGGTGGAGAAAACATTAAACCTTTACGTTAACAAATCTGCCTCAAGACTCTTTTCTCTGCACTCACACAAAGATTTTGTCAATATTAGCTCTAAATATTAGGTTAGCTACATTTGTACAGAATACTCCAACTTTTAGGACACTAGTTTTTTTCTGGTCTTGGTCTCGACTTGGTCCAGGCCCTAAAAGTCTTGGTCTTGTCTCGGTTTCAAGACATCATGGTCTTGGTCTTGACTTGGTTTCGGGTTAGGTCTTGACTACAACACTAAACAGAACATCACACATCTTTTGTCACTAGTTGTTGAGATGTCAGCCAGCTGAATTATTAAATGTTCACAGTAATCATCAAACAGCCCTTCACCTCTGGCTCTGTTCCCTCAGTCTGGATCTATTGTTCTGACCTGCTGACTGAACAGCTCCTCTGACACTAATCCTCTCTCTGCTTCATCTTTAAGACAGGACTCACACAGATTTAGAGTTTTGGAATTTCTGTCACAGTAAAAACCAAAATCCTTGTGTTTCAACAGCTCTCAGCAAGCTGCTGACTGATGTTGATGCTAATCTGTTAGCTCAGACTGGTGAAGCAGTGGCTTCACAAAGTATTCTGATCCCTTTATGCAGACCATTGCTACAACTGTTCAAATTTTTTTTTAATCAATCTTCACTCAGTACCTCATAATAATAAAGGAGAAATCAATAATCAACTTTGTACATTTATTAAAAGTAAAAAATGAAAAGCCAGCAGCACAACAGCTGTTAGCGCTGACGCCTCACAGAAGGAAGGTTCAATCCCCAGTTTGGACCTGGGGTCTTTCTGTGTGGAGTTTGCATGTTCTCCTCATGTTTGTGTGGATTTTCTCAAGGTTGGTTCTCATGTTTTCCTCCCACAAACCACCACAACATGCATGTTAGACAGCCTCCCTTACAAGAGATCTGTGATCTCAGTGGGATTTGCCTGTAAAATAAAGATTAACAAAAAATTTTTTTACATTTATTTACATAGGCCATTAGTTGCTGCACCTTAGGCAGCAGCTGCAGCCTCCAGCCTTTTTGAATTTGATGCAAGAAACTTTGCACACCTAGGATCTGTCCAAATTCAGGGGCTGCAACCTTCAAACGACCCGGTCAACCTGGACCGGGTCGTTTGCCAACCACAAAGACCGGATGAAAGTGGCTATTGGACGGTCTAGCCTTCATGTCCTGTCGCCTAACAAGCTAACAATGAAGAAGAGACCCGCCATGCAAATTTGTTTAAGATGATTTCTGTCAATAATAATATTAAAAACTATGTCTACACAAATGACAAAAGCTTAACAACCGAAGCGTTTTAAATTTTAAGATTTTGTACCACCAGATTTTTAGTTGAAACTGTACTCCTGACAGTCTCGCTTCATCTGCCATTACAAGCAAAAACATCTTCTGATTGTCCCGCAATGCATCTTGGGATAGGGTGGACTGAGAAGGATTAACCGGAACCGTCCCTCTAATCGGGGTAAAGGAAGACACGTTTGTGGGCCACAATTGGAGGAGCCTTCAAATTTATACAGCCTCTGGTGCATCAATGTGACGTTGGCTTCAGATTCAACTTTTGAATGAATTTGGACAAGTCCTGGACTGGGAAACTTCTGATGTGTGGTTTTCTTTTTGCAAAAGCTCATTCTAGTTGGATGGGGAACCTTAGTAGAGACATTTTCAGGACTCAAGATTTGGTCTGGGCCACTCTAGTTGTCCCTCAGCCACTCCTGTTTTGTCTTCAATGAGCCCTTTGGATTGTTGCCATGTTGGACAGTGAATTTTCAGTCCAGTTTGAAGTTTTGAGGTCTGTGGAACAGGTTTTCGTTGAGCATATTTCTGTACCATGCTTCATTGTGGAGATGGTATCACCTGCCCGGTACCATGCTGCCCGGTGAGTGGTGCCTGGTTTCCTCCAGACATTATTTGGTTTCATCAGACTAGAACATGTTGTTCCTCACAGTCTGAGTCATTCAAGCAGCTTTTAAGTGTTTTGCTCTGAGGGGTGCCATCCATCAAGCCTCTCTGCCATTAAGACCAGTATGGTGGAGCTCTGTAGTTCTGGTTGTTCTTCTGGGTCTCTGAAACCCAGTCAGAGTGACCTTTGGGTTCTTGTTTCCTCTTTTCACTAAGGCATTTCCTCTTTGATTGCTCGGTGTGTCCGGGCAACAGCTCTTAGAAGAGTCTTGGTTGTACCAAACTTTCTCCATGTGAGAATTAGGAGGGTCATCGTGTTCTTTGGAAGCTGGAGTGATACAGAATTCATTTAGATTTTGTCCTGATGCATCTCAATAATTCAGGTAGGAGAATAAAAAATCAATAAAAATAAAAACCCGTCAAGGGGATTCAATTTTTGAATTATTATTTTGTTTTCATTTTGGCCTTATTTTTATTTAGTATTATTTTAAAATTATTTTTTGCTTGAATATACTGTATTATGGGGATAAAAGGGGCAGCCATTATAAGATTTATTCTMCTTCTGCTACCTTTCATTTTATTTTGATTTTTAATTTGTGTAATGTATTTTCTTTGTTTTCTATTGTATTATTTAGTTTTTTAATTAAATGAATAAAGTATCAACCAATTTACAAATCATGTCCAAATAATTTACCAAAGGTCAATCCAGGTGTCGAAACATCTCAGCAGTGATCAAGAGAAATGAGGCACCTGAGCTAAATCTCAAATGTTAGTCTGAATATTTATGAAAATGTGATATTTCAGGTTTAGTGTAATAAAATAATGCATCTGCCTTTTGACAATAGGAACATTTCTCATCTGAAACAAACTGTTTTCCTCCCTTTGAATGATCAGTCAGACGTCTAATCTTTTAAACTCACACTCAGTCATTGTTTTATGTAATCAGGCTTTGAAAACTACAATAAAATGTCACCGTTTGTAACTTTGTTTAAAGACTGTTTGTTTTTTTACTCCTACTGTGTCTATTTTCAGTAAAGAGATAAGCAGACTGAGTTTACTGAAAGCCAGCGGTTTTTTTCCACTCGTTCAGTAACTTTATCTTGTGGGATCACACCATGCTGAGCAAAGAAACAACAGAATTTTCTCACATTTATTCCCATGCTATTTTCCATCCAACGTTTGATGGACATAATGGCCCCAGTGAACTTTGACGTCAGTCCAGAGCCACATGCTGTTTCAGCTACAGTCATGTTGGACAAAAAAAAAAGGTCTACCTTCTTTTGTCGCGGTTTGTAGATGGGGTCAGACCCAGGAAAGCCGAACAACGAGGAGCTAAAAAACCTAAAGATTTAAGAATCACAAAATAATCTCAAACAAAGGCAAGAGAAAGCTTAAGACACAAACTGGATGGAGACACAGAGGAAAAACCAGGCTGACTGTGAGTGAGGGCTACGAGAAGAAAAGGACTGGGGCTGATGGCAACAGGGAACAGTTGTAAGTGGGCGACGGCAGGGAGTGAAAGCTATGGCGTTTACATTACTCCATCAAAAAGTGAAACGGGCTCTCATTGTTGCAGGTTCGTGTCGAAAATTGTGTGATTTTGTTCGCAGAGCAGCTTCACACACTCCTTCCAACACAAGGCCCGGGACGAACCTTTTCTCACAGGCGAGTGCGCCAAGTTCTGTGTGATTGGTCAGAAGTTTGTTTCAGCAGAAAAGCACTCAGACAACAATGGTGGCATTTTGTACTGCTTTACTTCCAGATGTTGAAATTTCCAAACCACATGGATAGTTCTGAGGAGCAGTTGTCCAAGCCTGACAGAATGTACATCTATCTATAGGACTCTTTCAAACAGGTAGGTAATGAAATTGCCAACATCTCACAGACACTGTATGGAGGAATTTGTCTGCTGAAAAGTTGGACACTATATCCATTACAAATTGTGGCCAAACTACGGCTATCGCAACACGTTCTCACTCTCGACTCGTCAACATATTGACGCTTGGTCAGGTACCGTCTGCGTCCAGTTTTGGACACATCGGGTACCCGCCTCGCGTCAGTCATTGCCGTCTGCGGCTTTTCCGGGTTGCGTCACATAGGGGTCTTTGGGTTGGGGGTCTGTGGTTAATATGAGAGATCAGGGTTAATGGTTAATTTTAGGTACTGAGGTCGGGGATAGGCTGTATAGAGCTAATGAGTTGTCAGTGAAAATGGGTTGGTTATCGGGGTCTCCAGTCAGAAAGAAATCCATGCTATGACGTGTTCAGCAGTGGGAGGGGTTTTATTGTTACCGCCCCGGAGAATCTGAACACAAAGAAAATACAGAAACTAAACATTGAAGGCAATAAACATGAAATAACCTTTAAAACAGAAAACCAAACTCTGAAAACACATGAATCTTTTTAACTCTAGGGTTTTACAAATCAGAATGATCTGGCCTTTATTACGTACTAAAAGTTATTCAAATCTAACCTCAAGTGTGCAATATAATAGCACGCAGCAGATTAAACCACGTCAACAATTACTAAACAGGAAAAACACCAAAGCTTGCTGCTGGTGGAAACTAAACATTAAGAGCTGTGCTAAAATGAATGTTTACAAGCATTAAAAGAACTCTAACTGTACCTGTAAAACTGTAATGGGACATAATTTTTCCACAACCATTTGAGAGACCGATAAAGTCAAACAGAAACCCACTGCTGGTGGTTCTGCAGCTTTTTCATTTGGCTTTGTTTTTGTTCCATAAATAAAGAAATTGTCAAATTTGTTGTGTACTTTTGTGTACTTGATGTTAGGTTTGAATAAATTCAGAACCTGAAGAAGATGTGATTATTTCTTGTTATGTATAATTTCTGCAGTAATATTATCAATTTAAGTACAACTGTCAACTAAATACTCAACAAACAGGGCAGTATAAATATCACTTCATTCAATGTTAGGATAAAATTTAAACTTTTTTGATTTTTTTTTTCCTTGAATTTCATTATTGAAAAAGTAAAGAGAAAGTCATAAGCGCCACTTTACGGGTAACTATTATAACAACTGAATTAAAGCAGGTAAAAAAGTATGGGTATAAAGGTCTAATTATCCTTTCTCAGAAGATAAGTCAGTGAAATCCCCCTGTTCTTAACAATATCTGCAGTCTGAAAGGTGTTTGAGAGAAAACTAAAAATCTAGAGAAAATGTTTGAAGTGCAATTTGTTTATGTACCAGCAAGAGTTGTAAGGGTAAGACAAGTTTGTTTACAAAGTATTTGGAAATTTTATTAAGCTAAAAAGTTAATGTATAATCAATTATTTGTTCTATGAAAAACATCAGTAAAAATTGTAATTAAATTGGAATTGTGTCAAATATTTCAGTGTTACCAAAATACAAGTCTAGTCATACAGTCCAAGTTCCTGCGACTGATCTTTATTTTCATCTCATTTCTTTTGCAAACTTTTTCAACTCTGCGACTAGGGCTGCCACAAATGATTATTTTTATAATCGATTAATCACCGATTATTTTTTTCAATTAGTCGAATAATCAGATCATACGTTAATTGAATATAAAACATACAGCTTATCGTGCCAGAATGCAGCTGCTATTATATAACCATGGTTAGATTTTAGCTATATGCTAACTAAAAATAATTGCTGTGCAATGCAAGTTCTGCTCTGCAGATATTACACAGGTTTCTCTTTCATTTTCTTAAAATGATCCCACACTTTTGAGCTCCGTTGTCAGGTAGCCATGATACCAGAGCC